AAAGATTAAGTAAACTTAGGTTTTCGCATTTTGGAATCACAAAACTTCTTGAGTTTTATTTTTAAAAAATTCCGAGAAAACCAATGACATAATACCATGTGTTTTGAGTTTTTTTATCGGGGTGATTTTCTTTCCGCGGGATAATTCTACCATATAGAATAGTTCTCTATTCTGAAAGAATTTTCATATACATGCAATTTCATTTTTATATAAAGTTACTCCATGTTTGCAGTGAAGACATATAAAATCAACTTTAGTTTCTCTTTATTCATGACTTAGCCCATACAAAATATATGATAAAAATATTGATATACATTTTTCAATTTGTAAGTGTGATGATTCGATATGTAGAAAAGTTAGCCATGTGAATTTTTTCATAGCAAGACACATTTCAAAAACATGGCTCAAATCTACTCTTCAGAACTTCTATAATTTTTTATTGCATAATCAAATATAATTACTACTTATTGAATTAAATTTGAATTAGTAATATCTGTTCTCGGAAGTCAACACGATAAGATCTAGCAAATTTGATCGTTTTAGGGCAGTTGATTCTTAAACACTGATCAATGTGTTCTTGAATTATGAATGATCTAGAATAAAAGATATGCATAAGTTCAATCGAGTTGCTTATATCTATCTCTCTATACGTACTTAACAAAACGATGAATAAATGACTAGTCAATAGACTATGACACATTTTATAGCCTACCTTTGATAAAAATCTCCGTACGAATACTTGAAGTATTGCTGAATAATTATATAAATATCGTTCTAGACAGTCAAAACAATTAAATACTTATCTTATCGCTTTACTTTACTTCTGTTGACGGGAGTTTTTTTTTCTCTATATCTCAATAAAGAAAAAAATCCGCATGAAGTTTTCGTTGATTCTGAAAGCTTGAATTAGATATATTTTTAAATAGTATGTCAATCGGAACAAAAACTACGATTTGAGTTAAAACTTATTACATATTTAGAATTGGCAGTCGACTGATATGTCTTTCAAAGTTTTTTTTTTTTTATTAAATTTTTTTCAAACAAAATTCGACTGAGGTCTCCTCTTACACTAGAAGGTCAAATGACAATTAACTAAACAAGAAAGATGACATTGTGATTAAATTAAACTTTTGACTGGATCTTAGACGAGGTTTTTGAGAAAACAATAGTTTGAAAAAAGAAAGAAAAAACTTTGAAATACATATCAATTGATTCGGATTTTTTTCTATGCAAATTGAAAATGTGTAATTAGTTTTGACTCAGATTGTACCTTTCTCTAATTGAAATAGCATAAAAACATGGTATCTAAACTATCAAAAAGTATTATAATTTATGGTCCTTTCCCTTCGCGCTTTCAGAATAGATCAACATTTCATTTGGGTTTTTTCCCTGTCTCGAGGTATAGAAAAAAAACCCTGTTGACAAAAGAGAAAAGAAGTGATAAGATAAGCATATAATGGTCTTGTTTATGTCCAGCGATATTTATATAATCTCTCACAAGGGAACCCTTTGTATTATGACACTAGAAGATAGCGCATATTATCATTCTCACTATCAAACTAACCAATTGAAAATATGAGATGACCATAATTTCAAGGTATTAAACCTATATGTAATGTGACTATAATTCAAAGTTTTCAACAGTATATTTTTTTTTGTCATAATAGAATACAGAGTTGAGTGTTGAATAATACGATCTTATCTTATCTTTATTGTGAGTCTATTGTAACAAATGAAATACTGATAAAAAGTTCTAGGTTAAATCAAATAAAAAATTTTCGATACTGAAACAAGAGTAAACGAGAGTGTGAAGATGACAATAAAGATTATAATATTATTGTGAAAGCAAAAAAAGAAAAAGAAAAAGTGAAATATTATCTTGCTTTATATTTAAGTATGAACATTAACAGATGAAAACGAACAATTAATCTACATAAAACTATTTCATTTCTCATCTCGTATAAAACTTCATCAATTCAATTGATATTCAGTAGTTTTCAGAATTTATTTTTTTCTATAAATTCTATCGAATAAGGTTGAATGTGACAGCGAGAACGACATTTAGAGCAGAGGGTCAGCTGATGAGGCTCTCATCTGTTAATTCCAATAGTTCATCAATATGCTCAATCTCCTTGCGTTATAATACGACAGATTCCATCATCAACAAAATTTCAACCATTCATGTTGAAACTTTTATCAAAGGTAGACTATTAGATACATAGCCCATTTGATATAGTTCGTAAAATTCTACATCAGTGTGTAAGTCATAAATAGCAAAAAGGTATATATGCTCTTCGCCGAAACATACTTCGTCGAAAGTACTTTTTGGCCATGGGGGCGCCCCAAAGGTGAAGGTGAGAGCAACATGAGTTGATTTCTTCATGCTAAACAAGCCTATATAAGAATTAAAGGGCTCGCAACAGCCTAAAGCGCCCTATGAGTCTTTCGGCGAAGAGAGTTACAACCGAAAAACAAATTGAGGATGGTATCTTGTCTGTATATTCTCACTTTTGCCAGAAAACAACAAATAACTACCGTACTCTTTTATTCAATTGTTTATCAAAATTTTATTACATGAAAAATTTATTATATTCTAGATATAAAACTGTAGTTTTAAAAGATACACCCCAATAAATAAATATATGATTTAAGCAAAACTTATTTGTCAAGCAATTAGCGTATTAAATTCTAAAGCAAATACAATAAAGACTCTCTCATAATTGTAATATTTAAATTAATCATACATATTTTCTTGATAACAAAATTCAAACATGTGAATAATGAAATGGAATAAATAATACAAAAAAATAACAAAAAATAAAACCTATATGTTATATATATATATATATATATAAAGACTTTTATTAGGCAAAATGCACAACAATTATTTTTAGAGATTTTCTAATTAGTTAAAAAAAAATAAACTTTTTTTTTATTTATTGAAAGACATGTACTGATCTACGTAGAAAACAAAAAAAAATATACAATGATTATATTGTGAAAAAAAATATAATTCGCCTACTGTAATACTTTGTTTTTTCTTTTATCTGAAAAATTCGGAGACAAAAATAAGGTAGATCTCATTTATCATCTTGAACACATTGTAAAGTAAATACAACATTTAAATTAACTAAAAATTGATGATAACATTCTCATTTTCTCTCGAATTTCAGTAAATGATATACGATTTATAGGTTCATATGCCCAACATTGTTGAAGTATATAATAAATATCAATATTACATCCATCTGGTTTTGGATGTATTTCACGATTAATTGCAACACGTTGTGATACATCACGATCATTATCTATATGAGGATATGGTTTTGAAGGATTTTTAAGCATAAGTTGAATAATTAATATACCAAATGCCCAAACATCACTTTTTGATGAAAAACTAGCATAAATTTCTCTTCGAATTTGATCTGTTGGTTGATTTATTCGTGATTGCATTGGTTTTGGTATACATTCAGGTGCAAGAAAACGAACTTGAAATCTATATTCACCTGTATTTGTAATTGAACGTGATAGATTATTTTTTCCTTCTTCTTTTTGTATAGCATGACCAAAATCAGCAATACGAATATAACCATAAGAATCAATAAGAACATTACTTGCTGTTAAATCACGATGAACAATATTTTTTTTTTCAAGATAAATCATTGCATTAGATATTTGAAAAGCAATATTTATAATACGAAACATTTTTGATATTGTTGTTCGAGAACGTAATGGACAAATTGATTCAAGTGATTTTCCACCATGTGCAAATACTAAATAATTATTTTGATGATCAGAATAATGACCAAATAATGAAACAATAGAAAAAAAACAAAGTTGCTTGAGTACATTTAATTCATTTTCATAATATGGACTATTTTTTGTAAAACGTTTAATAAATACTTTAATATCATCATGATTTGATTTTTTCCAAATAGCTTCAGATATTCCATTATTATTTTTACCACTAAAACGATTATGATTAAAATTTATATGATGAAAATTATTTGAATCTAAAATCCAAGTTGGATCGTCAGATGAAAGAATTAATTCATTTGTTAATGGAGTATATTTTTCTAATTGATTATATTGTGAATTATATTGCTCTAATAATTGTACACGATTTTCTTTATCATTTGATCCCATAAGTGATAAACGATAATTCATTACTAAACATTTATATGAAGTTTCATTGACACGTACTGATAATACAACATAACGATCTTTTTGAATAGATATTGTTGATCGATTATTTATATGAGTAGATGAAAGTATTTCATCATTTAAGGTTTGATATCGTACAATATATGTGCCACATGGTTGTAGCACTAGAGCTTTAATAACATAGGCTGGTGATACTTTTTGAATTGTTGGTAAATTTTGCATTGACACGAAAAGAAAATATAATATCTACAACGAAGTGTCTCAAAGTAGATGCAAAGTGTTATAACGGGGAAAAAAAAATCAGTTCTAATTATAGGCTTTTTTTCTTTTCTCTCATGATAAAATATGTTTTACAGTTCCGCGAAATTCTATCAAGTCAAAATATTGCTGTCGTCGAAAAAAGAATTTTGTCTTGTTCTGTTTTCCGTAGACACTACAAGTACACTTACGAGAAATATGACGTGTATTTATTTTGCTTTATGGGTTAAAATTCACCAAGGATGTGAAAATTTTCATGTCAAAGATTTTGTCCAGTCTCGTATCCAAACACACAAAAGGCGTGTCTGTTTTTTTTTTTTACGTAAATTAATACAATCGTCTGATTTTATACCCTTAGAAAATAGTATCATTTCATAAGAGAAAAAAAAAAAGAGAAGCTTTTCATCGACATTTTTTCTTTCCTATCGTAGGCTCTCCTTGAAGAATAACGACGTTGGGTTTTTCGGCGAAAAATGAATAAAAAAAGAAAAAAGAGCAACTTAAAATCCGAGAAAAGACATGATGAATAAAGAATGATAATAAATACAAGGAAAGTACAAAATATATTTCAAAATTTTCTAAGAAGTTCTATCAATAGACAACTGCATACGATATGCATCTGTATTGTCTGAATAATATTGTTCTAGAAGTTCAATTATTATAAAACCATGTTTATAATATAAGTTATATGCAGGTATATTTGATGTGTTTACTTCAAGTTCAATAGCAGAAGCACCAAATAGACGAGAATGATCTATCATATAACGTAAAAGTATTTTACCTAAACCACGACCACGTTGATTAGGATCAATACATAAATTTGCTATATGGGATACACTTTTGTATACATATTGAAGACCATATCCAAGTATTAAATTATCATTGTTAGTACTTTCAAGTATCCAACAATGCCAAAATGGATGAATAATATGATCAAAAAATGTTTCAAAAGGCCATGATTCATTCGGCCAAGTGATTTGCTCAATTTTAACTAATGTGTCAATATCAGTTAGACGCATTCGTCGAATTTGATATTCAGTTGACTTGCTAGTATTGATTGATAAGACTTGATAATCATTATTTCTATAGATATCTACTGGCATTATTGAAAAAGTTGTTGTATTGTAAAAAAAGAAGTTATAATTTATTCTACACAATTTTAATGAATCATACGTATGATATAAAATTACTCAACATTTGAGAAATATGAATGACTCATACGAGCAATATTTGTCTAATGAAAAAAGATGACGTCAAAACATTACACATTACTTTTTTTTATCTATGTATTAGTTTCATTAACAAAAAAAAAAAATTTTCAGCGAAAAATGACAACGTAGAAATGCGAACAGAATAAAATGTTTCGTTTTGTTACAGATAATAAAAAAATAACCATATGTAGCTATTATGTAGTTAATAAAATCACACCCAAACATGTGATTACCTTCGACTTTCTTTCGAATGTTAACATATAACAACGAATAGAAATGAATTAAAATAGTCGAATTTTTATATTAGTTTATATAATAACATCGAACATGAACGTCTTGACATCAAAGAGAAACCATATTCGATTTTTAAATTATAGAGTGCGATAGTTACAAGTGTATTTCAAACGACAATAATAAACATTGTTCTGTATGAAAACGACGCAACCACTTTGACTTGTATGAAAAATCGATATGAATTTATTTAATGTGAAAATAACCTTAGGAAAAAAAAAGCGAAACTCTTCTTAATATATTTATCTCGATAAACATGGCTACTGACTTTGATTAATTGCTGTAGTAAAAATGAAATTAATGGATATTATTTTTATATATTCGCATTTTTTAGCTTATCTTAGTTTATTAATAATACAGAAAAGGATGAAGCCATCTTTCATAAATAATATTCAGTATGAAAAAATATTGCATTATTTTTAGCTTTCATTGCTGATATTTCTTTTCAAGCTTCATCACAGGTTTCTTATCATTTAAGTATATCAGATAATAGCAAAGCAACTAGCATATTTTGTTTTTATGTAGAAAAACTAAAGGTAAACTATGGATAAACAATTAGCTTAAAATATATTCCTATTAGAAACGCTGCTTCAAAAACCAGTAAATCATTAATAGGAAAAGTTGAAACAACAAATGAAAATTGAATGAAAACAACAATAAACAAAAAGAAAAATGTAAGAATAAGAAAACGTTGAAATGAAAAATATACAGTAGGAAAATATCGAAGAAGTATATCTTAAAAATAATCTTTCGAATTCAAAAGATGTCACGAGTATATAAGATTTAAAATCTCTTGAAACTGGGACTGAATGAACTTTGCAAATGATTCACACATACACTTCGATTATATGAATAATTATGAAAGAAAATAATTTAGTAAACAAATTAGGTTATTCTCTAGATTGTTTGACAGCATATAATAATTAGAGACGGCAGATCACAGGAGGAAGATAAGGGCATGAAAAAAGAGAGATGAACATTTTTCTGAATCAGGTCCAACTAACAAGAGAAGTACCTGAAATGATATCTTGCATTTGAGATGAAGCTCTAGTCATTACATAGGGCCTTTTAGAGTTATGACTAATATATTGAGTTTTTTACTTTGGACACGGTATTTCTAAAAAAAACCGAACAAATGAATTTTAACCTAAAACATTGCCCATAAATAGTTTTTAAAGTCTTTCGTAGTTTCGGTAGAATATCATGGGGTTTTGTTGATTTGATATCTCAAGGAGATAGCATTTATTCTAGCTGAAATTATTAGAAGATTCTAATGACTTCAAGAGCTGTCTATAGACAAAGTTTTAGGCCAAAATTTTTTTGTTTCGGTTTTTTTTATAAATACCGTGCTAAAGGTAAAAAAAATCAGTGTAATGGCCATAACTCCAAAAAGGCATTGCATGGGAAAGAATCCCTCTAGGTTTCTTCTAGTCTCGGCAGACTCTACGTAATGACTGTAGTCTCATCTCAAACGTAAGGAATCATCTCAGGTGATTTCTTTGTAAGAAATATTATTGAAAATGAGTTTCAATCGACAAATATCGTATGTCACATGTATGTATTCTGTCACTCGATGTGGTATTTTGACTGGTATTCTTCTGATATGTTTCTTTCTCATTTTTATTTTCAAATAAAATCATTGAAATTTGAAAAAGATTTCAGATTTCGTATTATCGAAAATATTCGAATTGTAAATTTCAAATAAAATTTATGTTTTGCAATAAAATTCATGAAATTACTGTATTGTATCTAGTTAATTATTAACACTATAAAAAATATTCTTTTTCAATTGAACTGAGTTCAAATCAAAGTAACTGAACTCAAAACATAATTTTCTCATAGAAGAATGTAAATGCAATGTACCATGGATCTGGAAAAGTATTTATCTATTACCGAAAAACTGAACAAAGCATTATTCTTTTCAACATTTTTCTACTCTATATTTTTCCTTTCTACGTTTTCCATCAAGCCAACATAGAAATTAAATTATAAGCAAACAAAAAAAAAATACAATATATATAACAACAAAAAAGTTTCAATCACTCATTCGTATTAACGAGGAAACCATCCAAACTGATATCTGCTGCTTGAATTCATATCGGGGCGCATTTATAAGACTAGCAAAAGTCTAAAAGATCCTTTCGAGCACAGTTATGATCGTTCTACTAAATTTTCGATCCAGCTTTAGGTGCGTACCAGAATAAAAACGAAACAGAATTTTTCGAAGTGAAATTTTATCTGTATAGATAGATCGAATGATTCTTAGAATGTCCTGAAAGTTTTAGCCGAAAAGAATGTTCTTTCGTTAAGATAACAAATTTCCAAAAGATAATCACTTACTACAAATATGATACAAAAATGGAGGTTTACTTGAAAAGCCCAATATCTCAACAATGGAAAATTCTTTTCGGAATATTCTAAAAGTCATTCGACCTCTCTATGAGTGAAATTCCATTCAACGATTTTTCACTATTGATCTAAAGATGAGTCGAAAATTCGGTAAAACTATCTTAATTAGACTCCAAAGGTCGATAGAGAGGAACTATTTTAGATTTTTACTAGTCTCCTCAAAATGTCCTTGTGGATCCGAATATAAGCTCAAACAGTGAGTATTGTTTCGTGTAGTTTTGTCGTTAGTACATTTGATGATTATAGTATTTTATATTAGATAAATATTAATTAAATTACTTTGAGTAATTTTAAATTGATACTATGGAAAGTGTCAAATTTGTTTTAATTTTCTTTTCATAGAAAAAAAAATTTCAAGTAATTAATAATTTACATGAATGATTTTCATATACGTATTCTATTGATCTTCATTCTCAGATGAATTTATTTATTTAATTATTTGATGATTTGAATATTCTCATCATTTCATTTCGTATATCCCAAAATGAAATACGATCTTTAGGATTATAAGCCCAACATTTTTTTAATACATCATAAATAATTTTAGGACAATCATCTGGTTTCTCATGTATCATATGATCTACTTTAACATATTGAATAATTTGAATAATTTCATCATCATTATGTTTGATCGGTAAATTTGGATATACATCTGCATCTTCGTTCATCATAAGCTCTATAAATATCAGTCCATATGCCCATAGATCACTTTTCGAAGAAAATCTAGTTAATAGAGTTTCTGTAGAATCAATTAGTTGTTGATCATTAGGAGGCGATGGTAAACATTCAGGTGCTAAACGACGTGTTTGAAAGTTCAATTTTGAATTCTTTATTTTTTGTTGAAATCTTTCATTATCATCATCATCATCATCATCTTTTATAATAGCATGACCAAAATCAGCAATTCTTATAAAATAATTTTTATCAATAAGAATATTTCTAGCATGTAAATCTCGATGAATAATATGTTTATATTCTAAATAAATCATACCACAAGCTATTTGATATCCAATCATTGATAATTTTTTTATTAAAAATCTTTCTGTATTTTTTATAATTGGACATAATGATTTTAAGGATTTTCCATTATCTGCAAATATTAAATATTTAATTTGATCTGTTTCATAACAAATACCATAAAATGAAATAATATGAAAATAAGAAAGATTTTTTAATATTGATAATTCATTTTGAAAACTTTGTTCATCATTTTGAATTCGTTTATTATATACTTCAATTGTAATACTACCATCTTGAAAATTACATATTGTATTTCCTTCTATATCATTATTATCATCATCAGATAAGTAAAGATGTATATATTGTTTTTGAAAAAGAGTTCGTTTGATTTTCCAATTCGTATCTTTATCTTTAACAATCCATTCTTGTTGTAATTTTGGTAACATATCAATTTCTGAATTATTTTCATTTCGTTCATATTCTTCTAAGATATTTATGGAATTGTATTCACCATTCGATCCAATTAATGGTAAACGATAATTCATAACTGGACATGGATACAAGGCTTCATCGACACGTACGGATAAAACAACATAAGGAGAAGAGTTTGTTTCTGATTTGATTTTAATTTGTGAAAGTATATCATCGTTTTTAGTTGAAGCTCGTATAAGATATGTTCCTAATGGTTTTGAAATAAGTTCATAAACGACACGAGATGGTTCAATTTTTTGAATTTGTGGTGTACTAATCATTGAAGTTTTCTAAGTTTTCATCTAAAACAATACAATTTAATTAATAAATAATATTTAAAAAAAAAAGAATGATAATTTAAAACATTCTTCACGTTTTCAGTAGTAAAAGGAATGCAGTATATGTTAAGCAAATACATTTTATCTTTATATTCACCTAATTGTTTTTTCATGGCGTAATGTCAATAATCACGACCTTCTCAAGGGCATTATTTGAAATCAACCATATTTTTAAAGATATAAAACTCATTTAAATTATATCTAATGCATATATTTAACAATAATCAAGTTGGCTTTTTCCTGTGTACAGTTTTTTGCACAAATTTTCAATTGTCATGACAGTAATGACTTTCATATAGGGTTGCTTTTATTTTCTTATAATAAACAAAAGAACGAAAAAAAAAAAAGAATACTTTACAATTATAAAGAGAGAATGTGACATAAATATTGCTATACATTAAAATTACTTATATTGAAAGCGCCATTTGATGGGGTTCCGGAATTTCGCCAATAAGACTTTCGCCAATAGGACTTTCGCCATTGCAGAAAGTCCACTGTACTTTCGCCAATACATCCCGTGGAATTTCGCCAATTGGCGAAAGTCCATTGTACTTTCGCCAATACATTCCGTGGAGTTTCGCCAATTGGCGAAAGTTCCCCGTACTTTCGCCAATATACTCCCGGACTGTCGCCAATTGGCGAAAGTACAGTGAGCTTTCAGCAATTCATTGTAAATCAGACGTACACTAAAAAAATTTTTTCTCGCCTACATCGATGTGTGCAAACTATGATATATATATTCCAATAACATTAACTTCAGCGTTGACATATATCCTATATTAACACGTTGACTGTCCGGTGCATCATATGTGATGCACGATACTTTGGACTGAGACGTTCCGTGTATCACATATGATGCATACGCAGCATATGATATTTGAAGCTGGAATTTGTTAGACGCAACTAACCGGCTGGATTTGAACTATTGGGACGTATCGGTACGATGTCAGGAAGTATTCTAGTTCTTGGTTGAATCACATATGATGCACTGAGCATAATAAAGTACTAAAAAACATAGCGCTTTGCTTTTATTTTGAGAAAAAAAGTGAATGCTCAGTTTCAGATGTTTTTATTACAAAAAAGTGTTTCAATATAAAACAAAATAAAAGAAGCATTTGATCTAAGAGAGACAGCTGAATCATATGTGTTGCATAAAAAAACATTGAAGATATGTTTAAAACTTATTTTTGCGGTATATAAACGTAATACACTCCAAAAAATTATATATTTTAAAATTAAAAAGAAAATAAAAAGTGGATGTAGAACAAGTACTATTTTTTTCTCATGAGGACAGTCAACGTGTTAATATTGTTCCGTGACAACTGAGATAGTCCACCTCACTTTGGCCAATTGGCGAAAGTCCACTGTACTTTCGCCAATACATTCCTTGGAACTTCGCCAATTGGCGAAAGTCCACTGTACTTTCGCCAATACATTCCCTGGAACTTAGCCAATTGGCGAAAGTCCACTGTACTTTCGCCAATATACCCTCGGGACTTTCGCCATTGGCGAATGTCTTATTGGCGAAAGTCTTATTGGCGAACATCCCACTACCCCATTTGATAAGCATCTGCATATGTAGAATAGTGTTGAGGAAGAAATCGAACTATATGAAAAATCATAGTTATCATATAATCTATATGCATGTATACTTGATGTATTTACTTCAAGTTCAATAATAGAAGCACCAAATTGATGAGCATAATTTATCATGTAATGTAAAAATATTCCACCGAAACTATCAGTGGTAGAACTTTCAAATATCCAACGATTTCAAAGTAGATTATCAAGATGATCAAAAAAATTTTCAGAAGGTCATGATTCATCAAGCCATGTGACTTGCTCGATTTTAACTACTCTGTCAAAATTAGTTTCAAGCATTGGGCAAATTTGATATTGATTTTGTTTATTAGAAATCATTATAAATGTTTGATATACATCATTGATATTTATTTCCGGAGGCATTATACAAAACTATTCAAGCAGCAAAATATTGTATTTGGTTTTTTTTTGCATTGAATTATATTGATGAATAAATCAATTCTACTTTAATCGTAGAATGAAAGGAATGTTGCTGTTATCTTTCTTTGTATAAAAACAAATACTAATATATTGTATACGTTATTCTATTATAAGTATAAGTAGTGTTCATGAAGAGTCGATTTATTTTATTCTAGACTGATGAAATAGCAGTATGGATATAGTTGCATTCACATATAAATGTGTACTGACGAAAATAATACACAGAAATAAAAATAGTATTATAACAAGTATATAGGGAGCTGTTATAAAAATTTATTTGAAGCATTGACTTAATAAATAAAAGACAATTTTCACGAAACGGATTTTTGTATTAATGTAACACTTGCTTTTTGTTGGTTTTATTTCTATAGATATAATTTCATTTTAGAAAAAAATTTTCAGGAATGTATTTCTTTTAGCTGCATAATGTATGTGTGTGGATGTAGATTGTGTTTTCTCTTCACCTACATCCCATACTCACACTCACTCATATCCTTATTCTTCTTTGTTATCTCGATACATAGGTATTTTATATCCGTAACAGAAAAAAGCTTATCTTTTCCATCTTTTCGACAAATTAGTCCTTGTTCGCCGGTTCCAACATTGCTGAATGAATCCATAATCGAAAATGAGTCTGGACCAAATATGATCCGTTGCATATATAAGAGTTTATTATAATTACTTAGTTTACTAACAAATAGATTGGTTAACATTTCAGTTGGTAACTTTCTCAGTTAGTTACCATGTGAGTTGATAGGCTTTGAGTGTGGGTGTGGATGCCGGTGTGAAGAAGAAAACATCCACAGCCATATCTACCTTACTGTTATATCACGAACTTCTTCTGTGAAAGTAACCAAGAACGGGTAGTGAGTTGATACAAAACGACATACTGCGGAAGAAACTTGTTGTCTATTTCTGTTGACAATCGAAGGTTCAAAATCTAAGTTTTGCTGACCATTAATCATAATGCATGGAGCATCTTGATTTGTTAAAGAGAATTGTTGTTGAGGAGTAGCTCGGTGACGTTTATATGATATGCTACTCGAATTAACAACATGAGTCCAATATTCTTGACGAGCTTGAGGTCGAAGATCTTTATCTGATGTACCACTCAAATTGATGTGACCACGTTTCGAATTGACGGTTGTAGTGGACGTGTCCACGAAATCAGTCATCGAAGAGAGACAAGAAGGGGAGATATTGGTATTCGGTTAGTATGCAAGAGAAGGTGGTTGCCATTGTGTCGTGATGGAATGCAGCACACTTCTCTGAAGAGAAACATGAGGCGAATAAGACTTGTCGCTGATATCTTTTCCATTGATTGTTGAATCATTTGGTAAGTGGGGAATTTTTGACGATAGGACATTAACAGAGGATAGTTGTAGTATATTATATTATTTGTTCTCAGATGTTGTACTTGTTACTGTGATATTATGTCAGAGTCTAGTGGGACATCAGTTAATGTAATGTACATCGTTTAACCTTGGTTATCATCATACACATCATTTTCATAACCAATCTGAAAATTCGAGGGAAGAATAGTTGAAAATCGAAATAGAGAGAGAATGAAGTGTAGAACTGTAACAAACATTGTGATTTGAACTAATCATATCGTATTTATTTATTGATATTTCGACAAATGTTCTTTTATCATCATCAGAATAAATATGTAATTACTTCACAATATGAACAACACACAAGGACATAGGTCAAATCACAGAAAAAGAAGAATAGAGGAGTGTGGATGTAGGTTTCTTCTCTTCACTCACACTCACAGCTTTGTTATGTAATAACACTGGGGGGAAAAAAATGAAATTTTAGGTACCAGAAAAAGCAGATTTTGTCTTTCCACTTCGGGATGTATCCGGCAGACCTTCTTTGTCCCAGATACAGTCTCAGCTTTGTTTTTTTTTCAATTTATTTTACCACAATAATTATATTTGATAATAATTTCATGAATAGGCCAGTAATGAACTTGATAACGAATTTTGTTGTTACTAATATTGTGAAGTAGCTAACAAATGCACGTAAACAGAGTTGAATCTGTATAAATAAATATTTCAAAGTTGAATTAAGTCTACAGACTTAACGATATGCATACATCAACAATTTACATTAAGATTGTTTACTATAGTTTTCTAAGCTTCTACAAATCAAAAACGCGTAGAATAATAAACCATTTTGCAGGGTTTATTATTTCTATGTTTTTATTTATAATTGATTGATAATAAAACTCATGTAAGGAATAATATATCATCTAGGACACGCATTTTTGCAATAAGATACAGATTAGAAATAGTATAAAATCAATAGAAGTAAATTATTGTTGTTACAAAAAGAACTCAACATAACTCTATATGAATTTAATATTCAATCTATTTTTGATGTAAGCAAAAAGGTTACAATTCACTCTTCTAAATGAATCATTTTTTTCTCATCATACAACAGTGCTCTATCATGATTTGATCTTCTTTGCACTTTATAGAAAACAATATGATATAGAACAAGATTTTATTGTGAGAATTTTTATTATAAAACAAATATTAATCTATTATATTAATGTCAGTGAACTATCCGTAACAGAAGTAATTTGAATATTATAGAAAGATAAAAAAGAATATTTCATATAAATTTCATATTGTTTTTGATTAAAAAGATATCTTTTACAGACGTACGTGTTATTTAACTATGCTTTTAATGACAAAAAACAAAAATGAAGAAAAGAGATAAGATTACAAATATTCAATATAAAAATAAGTAAATTGATTGGCATTTGTCTATTTTTCAGACAATGTTGGACCGGTTACGCGCGCTTACTCAATCGAGAAGTACTCTTCAACAACCACTTGAAGTAGTTAAATATGAAATTCAGTTTTTGTTCAGATCTATAAATGAACTTTTTAGGAGGAAGAACCGAATAGTAAAGAAGAGCAAAGAGAAGAATGGGATCGACCAATTGAATTTATTCTTTCATTAGTTGGTTGTTCTGTTGGTATGTATTAATAATAATAGTTTATCTCATCTTATTTGTTTTTTTGTTTTGATATTTCAGGTCTAGGTAATGTATGGAGATATCCTTACATTGGTAAGTAATGATTATAATTATTCTATGTTTTATTTCATTGTTTTTTTTTTCGTTTAGCATTTAAAAATGGTGGTGGTAAGCATATATGATAGTTATCTTGTCTATTGTACAGGTTTTATTAATATAGGTGCTTTTCTTATACCATATTTTTGTGTGTATTTTCTGGTTGGAACACCACTTTATTTTCTTGAATTATCACTTGGTCAATTTACTAGTCGTGGTACTACAGCTGCTTTTAAAATGTCACGTATGTTTAAAGGTAATAAAAATATTTTATATTGATATGTAGATAAATGATATGTATATATGATATTAGGAGTTGGTTGGGCAATGGCAATTAATGCATTCCTTGTCACAGTCTATTATAATATAATTATTGCTTGGTGTCTATTTTATTTTTTTGCTTCATTTCGACGAAAACTTCCATGGAGTGATTGTGACAATTGGTGGAATACAGAAAGTTGTTCAAATCCAGGTATATATTTTAAAATGAAAGAAAATTTTATAAGATTATATTAATTGTTTTAGATACATCAAAGAATTCAACAATAAATTATCTTTGTCTTTCAACTAATCCAATAAATAATTGTTCATTACCTACATCACCACCTGAAGAATATTTTGAGTAAAAAATTTTTAAATTCTTAGCTATTTTTTATGTTTAAAGTTTAAATACAAAAAAAAATATATGTTGATAGTAATTATGTTTTACGACGAAGTAATTCATTAGAAGCAATGGGTTCTCCACATTGGTCTCTTGCATTATGTTTACTGTTAGCATGGATACTTGTTGCTGCTTGTATTATTCAAGGCATCAAATCATCTGGAAAAGTAAATGAGAAAATACTTAGGGCATATGCACAGTAGTAGTGAAGGTATTTTAATTCCTCATGGAAAATTTCTCGAAATTAAGGAAAATCATCAAAAACTTCCACCACCGATCAATCTATCGGCTTGTATCTCTATTAGTACTTACCGAAGTACTACAACGCACTGCTATAAAAAAGGCATATTTTTGATAGAGTTGATGTCTTCACGTTGTAACGAACAATAATGACAGTATAATCAGTGTTCCAGTGGAGCCTGTGTCGGTAACTCATTGTCAGTATTTCACTATTTGCACCAGCACTGTACGTCCCTATGTGCAATAGAGAAATATACAAACAAGTTCATCGAGTCTTTGTTCCATTTAATGTTCGAAATAATCGTCCTAGCCATCCACACTGAATTGCATTTATTGAATCCATTTAGAGATCTTTTTTCTTATACTCTTCTTTATTCAAAGAATTCATGAATTTAATTACAGCACAATGCAACGATTTGGAATCATTTCGATCGCTTAGATTTTGTTTGATTAAGTCAAATAACCAAAAAAAGGAACATTAAGAAGACAATATGTGATCTAATATTACTGTCGCATTTTATAACCAACAACTCTTATTGGAGTTTTATTTTTAAAATTAAAATATCTTTGCCACTACTTTTGCTATATCCTAAGTAAATTTGAATATTATGATTATATTTATTTTATTTTTTTAGGTAGTTTATTTTACTTCATTATTTCCTTATGTTGTAATTTTTGCTTTGGTTATTCGTGGTTTAACATTACCAGGTTAATGAATTTTGTTTAATAGAAATTTCTATGATTGTATATATATATATAATTAAATAGGTGCTGCAAATGGAATTTCATTTTATTTAAAACCAAATTGGACTAAAGTTCGAGAATTTGATGTATGTAACTAATGTGAGAATAATTGTTCTGAGAATTGATATTCTTTTTGTTTAGGTTTGGATCGCAGCTGCTTCTCAAGTTACTTTTTCTCTATCAGTAGGATTTGGTTCCATACTTGGTTATGCTAGTTTTAATAAATTTAAATCCAATTATCTTAGGTTAGATGTTTCCTTTGTTATCTCTACAAACTTCTTTTTTTCAGAGATTGTATAATTGTCACTGCTTGTGATTGTTTTACTTCGGTAAGTTATTGATAAAGTAAAATAAATTTTTATAGTTGAAAAACAATAGGTATTTGCGGGTTTTGCTGTTTTTCCTATTCTTGGTTTTATGTCATATAAAACAGGTTTACCTGTTGATCAAGTAGCTAAAGCTGGACCAGGTTTAGCATTTATTGCTTATCCACAAGCACTATCAATTATGCCTGGTGGTCCATTTTGGGCAGTGATATTTTTTTTTATGTTATTAACACTTGGTCTCGATTCTCAGGTATTAATTTTGCAAAAATAAAATTGAAGATTTATTTTATTTTTAAATATATTTAGTTTGCACTTTCTGATGTAACAATATCCGGTATACTAGATACTTTCACTAATCTACGACGTTATAAAACATTTGTTATCCTTGGATATTGTGCTGTTTGTTTTTTATTAGCACTTCCTATGTGTGCACCGGTAAATAGAAAAAAAACAATAGTACGATGGAAATTTTCATTTATGTTTTTGTATTTCTAGGGTGGAATTTATTTATTCGTATGTATATTTATCATGTAATGATTAAAATTTGAGTATTGAATATATATTTTATATAGACATTAATGAATGAATATTCATCGAATTTATCAGTAATTGTTTGTGCATTCTTTGAATTTATTATTATTGCTTACATTTATGGTTGAATATTAAATGAATTATATAAAATGTATTTACTGATTTTTTTGTTTGTATAGGTTTTAATAAATTTATGGAAGATATTCGAATGATGTTGGATAAACGACCACTTGAACCTTATTGGTTTTTAACTTGGTGTATATCAGGCCCAATAATTACTCTTGTAAGAAAATAAAAAATAAAAATTTTATCGTTTATAATGAGATGAAACTGGTTTTTGTTTTCTTCTTCAGATTGTTTTCTTTTCATCAATAATACAATTTCGAGCACCAACCGAAGGAAAATATGTATTTTCAACATATGCTAATGTTCTCGGTTGGCTTATGGTTAGTTCATCAATTATATTTATTCCAGGTGTGATGATCTATGAATTTATTAAAGCATGGAAAGCAACGTATCGTTACGAAAATCAAGTAAGAGCAGTTTTATCTTATTTTATGAAATATGATCTAAAAGAAGTGTTGAAATATACAGAGTAGAAATATACACCCCCGCCAATGACTAGAGCCTATTGAGTTCAAAATTTTTGGATCCGGATTCGAGTCTAGGACCAATCCGACGAGCTCATACTTTCACCATTATCTGTTTGGGATTCGAGAAAAGTTATACTTCTTTAACATCGAGTGTTATTACGAAAATATGTATTCAGTATAATGCGCTTGCACGATTTTGTGCCACAAACATTATTAATATATGTTCAAGGGCCATATATTAATAAAGTCTCGTTATAATCTATGAACTAACTATGATTAGCAATAGCAAATACATTGTTTTTCATATTTTAATTCCGTAGGGATTGCGCTAATAGCTCTTTCTTTTAAGATGTCGATTGAGATGCCGCATTACTTACGAATGTTAACATATGCAAGTCAACCGGATAAAGATTGGGGACCAGCCAGAAAAGAAACTCGATATGGTCGATATGAAGTAATGAATCAAACAATTGAAAATGATACAAAACTGAACAATGAATCGATTATTATTAATAATGAAAATGTTAATGAAGCTTTTGACCCTGAACTTGAGATGACTTCACGATTTTAAATTAATCTTCTATTGATTATTCTTGTGTAAAGACAAAAAAAAAAGACTAATTTTGATTTAATTTTTAATCACAAAAAAGAAATCTATTTAATCCATTTACTTCTTAAAAATATGCCTATTAAAATATTTTTCTATTCGTTTGTGAATTTTGAATTAGTGTAATTAACTTCAATATGTTATGAGCTAGTAGAAGATAGCGTACTTTTCGACTTGAAGTACGATGTTCCCTCTAGGATTGTCGATGTTATTCCTTTTTATCTTGTTCTTTTTTTAATGTATCATTTAAATATTTCTATAATACTATAATTTGTATTGCTTTTTCTATTATACACATTGAGTTTTTTTAAGGTGTATACACCAGTCATAGTCTGTCTGGTTAATTGGATCTAGTGAATACCTATCTCCTTATACCATATTATTGATTAGCAGAAATAAAATGATCTACAATCACGATATCTAATAGGTACCATTGCGCGGTTCTATTATGAAACTTTGAAGTAGTCTCAAATACACGGAAGTAATTCAAAGTAGTCCAAATTAATTTCAAGTACAAGAGTATGCTATTTGCACATAGATCATTAGTTTAATTATTCATTTTAATTCAATATTACTTGCTAAACTGTTTCAATCAACTTTTACCTATAAATTGACTTTCATCATACATACATAATCGAAGATAAACACTTTTCTTGAAATTCAAACATTAAGTCTAGATTTTTCCATGATGTTTCGTTTTTTGTTTCTTACTCTTAGAAACTATGAAGTTACTACTAAACTATAATCCATCGTTTGAGTTCATATTGGACTGATAAACAGGTTTTGATAAAACTCGAAAAAACTTAAAAGGGTTCGTTCTCATGGATCTTTAGAGTTGAGTTATAGCTGTTGTACTGAATATTCGACCCATTTTTAAGTATCCATGGAAAAGTCAAATGAAGCAACTTCGATAGGCTTCGACAAAGAAACATTCGTTTCGGCTGAAACTTCCAGGAGAAATCAAGAATCATTAGACCTATCTATAAACAAAATTCAAGGTCAAAATTTCGTTACTTGATTTTTTTAGTAAATACCTCAACATGGGGTTAAAACTTAGTAAAACGGTCATAATTAAGCTCAAACAATGGTTTAAAGTTAAAGTAGTTGCGTAATTGACAATAAATGAAATACACAAGAATGGAAAAAAGTTTGATAAATCGAATTAAACATGACTTAAATAGCACCAATTAAGCAGATTTATATCTAATTATTCTGTGTTAATGAAAGTTTTCATGTGATTGTTATCTTCCTTTAATCTATGAAAACGATTAAAGAGTTTCATCGATTTCCAAAAAATGAGAATTAATTGATTATTCAGATTTTTTATCAAATATTCACCATTGAAATTCTCGAATTTAACAAAAAAATATGATTAATGAATGATATAGAGAAAAAAAAAGAATGGTAATTTAAGACATTCTTCACGTTTTCAGTAGTAAAAGGAATATTGTATATTTTAAATATATTTTATCTTTATATTCATTCATTTCTATTTTCGTTATGGCATTGTGAATAATAACAATCTTCTCAAGAGCATTGTTTTTAAGCAACCATATTTTTAAAGATATGCTCATTCGAATAATATTTAGTGTAAATACTGACAATAGCTAAGTTAGTTTTTTTTCCAATGTACAGTTTTTTTTAGTTTGTTTTAATAAACAAAAGAACGAAAAAAAGAGAAGA